GGAGACCTAACCTGTGAGATCTGATTGGTCTATGGGAGGTAATCGGCAGGAGGCGGTCTCAGGTTTTTGAACCATTTTTTTGAACTGCTCAGCCAGCTTCTGACTAATAAAGTCAATGAGGGAAGCCAGATTCACTTAATAACTGCAGTGATTTGCTTAACGACCATGGCAAAATGTTGTGAAATTGAACATAACTCATTTAAGGACTTCTTCAGTGATGAAAGTGCCAGTCCAAATTACAGTCATAGTGTTGTGTAGACAAAACAACAGAACTAGGACTACCTAGTGTAGACAAAGCAACAGAAGAGATTCTACATAGCTCAGGGATGTGCTGTTAGTTTCTTGGTATTCTTTGAGCCTGGTCATTTCTTTCCATAGGTTTCGTTGATTTAAAAATAAGCCATATTTTGATCTAATGTGTTGAACATACTCAGCCACGTCATATGACTTCTTTGGTTTTGACTCTGCATGTTGTGTGAATCTACCCACTTATAATTTATTCAGCACACTATGGATAAGTAAGCTGTGCTTTCCCGTGTTGTTTGCAACCGGCATTTACGTGCCAGAGTAAAATTGGGAAGACATCCATTTCTTCCTACCTCTGAATCTTTAATCGATGTAGCTGGTCTGGTAAATACAGGTAGTCCTTGACAGGAAACAGCTCATTTAGTGACCGTTCAAAGTTACAGCGGCCCTGGAAAAAGTTACTTACGACCCTTTTTCATAGTTATAAACGTCGTAGCATTCCCCATTGGCCACGTGATCAAAATTCAGATGCTTGGCACCTGGTTCATGTTTATGACCATTGCTGTGTCCCGGGGTCATGTGATCATCTTTTTGCAACCTTCTGACAAGCAAAGTCAATGGGGAAGTCAGATTCACTTAACAACTGCATTGCTAACTTACCAACTGCAGTGATTTGGTTAACAACTGTTGCAAAAAAGGTGGTAAATGGGGCAAAACTCACTTAATATCTCACTTAACATAAATGTTGGGCTCAATTGTGTAATATCAAATCCTGAGGAGCCTGGGAGGGGGTAAAACAAAGCGGTTCCACCACAAAACCGCATTCGACTAAAGCGCGCTCGACGAAACCGCGTAGCTGACGTCATCAACAGGGCGACAANTAAAATAAAAAAGGAAAGTATGGCAGGCCAAAGATCCAAAAGAAAAGATGGCTGCAGGTCTGACAGGCGGCCTCCCCTCAGAAGAAAAGCGTATACTGTAAAGAGAATAACTTAGGGTGTTAACATAAGCATAACTAACCACCTCTTCCCCTCCCCTTTGGCTTATCGGGAAATTTATCGTAGACATTTGTTCCCTTCTATTGGTGCTGCTGGGGGGTCTACGACAACTCACTGTGGCTGAGTCGCCTCAGCCAACTTGTCACAGTCAACTTGCTGCAGCCAACTTGCCATGACCACCTTGCCAAAGGACAACTTGCTGCAGGACAAGAGTTGCACTGATGTCGAAGAAATAAGGAATAGGTTAATTAAAGAAAGGATGCCAAAGGTGGGACAAAATGAAATGTAAATGATGAAAATTTTAAAAAAAATTAAATTATTTTAAATAATTAACCTGAATTGTTGAATTGTCCCACAGTGAGTTGGTTCCATGGTGAGTTGAACACAACAAATTGTCCTGTGATAAGTTGACCATGGTGAGTTGGCTATGGTAAGTTGGTTGTAAATTGTCCCATTCTGTCTACAGCAGTGTTTCTCAACCTTGGCAACTTGAAGATGTCCGGACTTCAACTCCCAGAATTCCCCAGCCAGCGAATGCGCTGGCTGGGGAATTCTGGGAGTTGAAGTCCGGACATCTTCAAGTTGCCAAGGTTGAGAAACACTGGCCTACAGCAAACCCTAATGCATACATATATGGTGGTGCTTAAGGTCTTGGAGTAAACATGGGAGATTCAAGTTTAAACCACCTTTAGCTCTCAAGCGTTTGAATTGGTCTTGCTAAGCGATTATTCTTTACAAGATTATGGGAATCTGCAGGAACTTGCTTTTTTTGTCAAAAATAACAGGTGAAGCATCATGCTGTAAACTCTGCCCCAAGGCAGAGCTTAGAGTGCAACATGGTTTTAATTGTGCCCCACCTCCTGTGGACCCAGCTGCAAAGGGCTATTGTACAGATAAAAGGGAGAGAGGTTCCTATCTCAATCACTTTGTATTCCTGGAGGAAAACGTGGGTTAGAGGCTTAACAGACAAATAAATGGAAGGTCTATATAGAGATCAGGAATATCAGCCTTGTTCAAATAAGCCAGTAGCTTTTTTTAATAGAACATGCTAAACCATAGTTTACTGAATTAATTATCGCTGCTGGATTCACTAGCGGAGTAAACTGTAAATCATGCTCATAAGCTATCCTATCTGGGTTCATACAATGTACAGGTAGTCCTCAACTTACAATCATTCATTTAGTGACCATTCAAAATTACAACAGTGCTGAAAAAAGTGACTTGCAACTGGTCCTTACACTTTTAACCATTGTGGTGTCTCTGGGTGCTTGGAAACAGCATGTACTTATGACAGTTCTAGTGTCCCAGGGTCATGGGAATATTTATTTATTGATTTATTTATTTATTTATTTGTTTGTTTGTTTGTTT